AGTTCAGAACAATGAAATAAAGCAATGAGGACAGAGAAGAGGGAGTGATCCAATGATACTTTTCAGATAGCATCCATAGTACGTGGTGCCATTTGTGAGGACGACACATGGGTTGTGTTTTGAGTTGATTCTTTGGCCTTTTCTCATTATCCTCCAATACCCTATATTCAAGATAATATCTATATTTTCCAACCTTAATTGTTTGTGTTATAATGACTGTGGCTGAGAAATGGAATGAAGGAGAAGTAAGTTGAGGGCAGTGGTGATTCAGTGGTAGAATTCTTGACTACCATGCAGGAGATGCGGTTTGATTCCTGCCCAGTGCTCCTCAAGTGCAGCCACTGTCTGTGTCAGTGGAGGCTTGCCTGTTTCTGTGATGCTGAATAGGTTTCATTGGAGTAACCATACTAAGATGGACTAGGAAGAAAGGCCTGGCGATCTACTTGCCTTTCCCTGGCCTCAACATTAGCGGCCTTTCCCCTATGCCCCACTCTAAATATAACCTAGGCTCATCCCACCTGCTCTTTTGCACTGTTTGTGAATGCCACTCTCATACAGTACCAGTTTCTCCAAACCTTTTTCTGTCCTTAAAGCCCTTTCCTGAAAGCCGTTTTCAGTGAGAATATTTCCGTGGTGCTCAGCTTACCAGCTTTTTGCCTTTTACCTTTCCAGGTGCGTGTCTCTGCTGTACAGACCCTTGAACTCCTATTTATCCATTACCAAACTTTTTTCTTTCTTAAAAACAACTGTTTAAATGAGGGGCCATATTATTTTTCTGCCCAGCGCGGTCAATGTAATTTGATCGGTTCCATGATTTTCTTGTGAAGCTCAAACCACTGAAAATCTATCCATGTTTGGCAAGGGTAGAGAAGACAGGGAATCCAACAGTTTCGTTGACTTTCTCGTTTTCCTGGCCTTCCGTAGCTACCGGCACAAAAAAATAGTCCCTTTTGCTCTGTACGGCGGATATTCAAATATAGCTGCCTCCAGGAAGACGAGACAAAAGGGCGCAGACATATAACCTCATCAGGCAAAGCCGGAAATGCCATTATCCGCGCTCTTGCAGAAGGTCCAGACCCTCGCCGGCCCCCGTAGGCTGACAAAGATTTTGCGCGCGGGGTGAAAAAGTAGGAGCAGTTTACGGAAGTATTGCAACGGTTCGGAACTTCTGGTGATTAAGGAGAAAAAATGGTGAATGTGTATTTCTGTCCTTGAAACAGGGCGAGGTAGGTGTGTGGACGTGATGTCGTGAGGACCCATGGAATTCTTAAGGGGAGCGCCGTGATGGAGGTGCTTGAGGGGAAGCAGGTGGGAGTCTGGTACTTTTTGGGTCAGACCTGGGGTGACGCTTCAGTACAACGATTAAGGCTGTCTAGACTGACAGGGTACAGGGTATCTGTAGACCACTCTGCTTGTAAGGGGTGAAGGTGGTATTTATGATGAATCCGGTGTCTGGTAAGCCTGGATTGCCTTTAAGAGACTTGTAAAAATGGCGTGGGGGCAGCATCTGATCTCCTGTTACTTCGCTAGAAAGTGAGAGAATCAGCATCAGCGCAAGGCAAATTCCTATGAGGTGGAGCTCAAACATGCCTTCTCTCTCCGCCATCCTTACCAATTCTGACAGTAACCGTCCCTCCCGTGGCACCGCTTGTCCCCTAAGTTCGATAATTCCTTGCAGTGGCCACACAAAACTCACAACCATGCTCACATTTATGGGGTTTATTAGGTAAGTAACGTGTTACAATTCAGGAACTCAGGATATAGTTCTTCTTGCATCAGGACAGCGCCTTCTCAGCCTTGGCCGCAGGTACGCGTCTGTGGCCCTCGGCCTGTCGACCCCTGTGCCCCTAGGGACTCTTGGGCCAGACAAGCCTCTGCCCTCCTCCAGCAAGTGTTAGAAAGCTCTTTAGAGCCACTGATAAGGGCCCAGAGGCACCCCACCTCGCAAGGAAGTCTCTTGCTTGAAGGTTCTCAGCCTTCTCGCTCCGTGGGTTGGCTCCCATGCTGTCTAGCACCAGTCTCCTTGTTCTGCTGCTGTAACAATGACTTGAAGGCTAGTGTCTGACCTCTTCTAACTTCACAGGAGAAAGGAGAATCAAGATGAACAACCCAAGGCTGATTCCTATCAGGAGGAGGTCAGACACCACCTACACACAGTTTTTACAGTTGGTGTCAGAAGATAGATTTGCAATGGCTCCAGACTCCTGGAAGCATGGAACTTTGTGAAAGAAAGAACAAAGGGGCTTGGGAAGTGAATATTTAGATTCTTGGATAGTTGGTTTGATTGTTGTTACCTGTAATGACTGAAAAGTTGCAGCTGAAGTGGCCTGGGGCAAAATCCAGGTCAGATAAGTAGGATGATCGATAGGGGCCCAGGGTCTACTGGTTTCACCCAGCCAGAGGCCCAAGGCCATATACATATGAATGGGAAGAGTTAAGGTGTGGAGAAGATGCAACTGGAATGTTTTAAAAGAGGGTTATGAGTTTAGGATTAAGTGTTTATCTGAATGTAGTATGGATATTGAATGTTTCTCTCACCTAGTGTTGTGAAACAGACCTGAATGTATGGTAGAAATGAATATTGGGTATTATAGATTATAGAACATGTGTAACTCTGCCTTCAGCCAATATTTGATTGGATATGCTAAAAACGGGAACTAGGATTTGCCAGAGGGGAACAGGCTGTTGGTTTGAATGCTGTAGCCCTGTGTATAGAGTGGGGGCTTAGGTTGAAAACCGAGACCCACCCAGATTTGCACTGAAACCACATGCAGAACCACTCAGAACTGCTGAGAGAACAAGAGATTTGCATTTGAAAGCAGGACCTGCAGAAAGAAAGAAAAAAAAAGGGGACTGTTTTGCTTTTTGAATTTCAAGTAAGCAGCTTGCTGTTGGATTCATGGAGGTAGCAAAAGTCAGTGCCTATCAGAAGGAACCCCCTTCTAGGACTGGAAGTTAAAGGGAGCCGACAAGTAGACAGCTTGGTCTGCTTTCTTGTGACTATCTAGGTCCACTTATGAGTGGAAGTAGGGGAAGTGCAGCAGTGAAGAGAGGGGCTGAGTTTGGACATGTACCATTGGCACCCATTGACCTAGCCCATGGGGGCTAGGGATGAGAGAGAGAGAGAGAGAGAGGAAGGGCTGGCAGGTCAGAAGTAAAGGGAGTTATGTGGACTCCTGTGTTTATGTGTGGAACCCGTTGACCTAGCCCAAGGGGGCTAGGGATGAGAGAGTGTGAAGGGGCTTTCTGAAGTGCGTGGAGGTGTGTGTGAACTCCCAAGCCTAAGGCTGCTACCCATTGTGACCTAGCTTGGATGGCTTGGATGAGCTGACCAAAACCCCAGCCGAAAGAAGAGAAGGATGTTTGACACCATGAGCTGGTGTAGATTGCTGCAATTTGATGGCTTGCTCTGGACTGGACTTTGCTTATGGATGCAGAACCTGAAAGTTCCAACTGGAAAAGACGATTCTCTCTCAAGACCAGGGAACATGCTTGTCTCCTCAGTACTGGTTTGATAGGGACGGACAATTGAGAATTGGCTATCTAAAATGGAGGGAGATAAAGGCATGAAGTGCTGGTTTACATGCTTTCATGGGTGTGCTTACACTCAAAATGAGGGGGACAAGGGAGGATCCCCACTGAATTAGATTCCTCTTTTCCTGATAGGTCTGGGGAAGAGAGGTGAGGGAAGATGCTGATAGGATTATATGATTCAGCTGTGAGAGCTGATTGCTAACAAGGTTAACTGTGATTGTAAAAACTGTAACTCTAGAAGCTGTAGCTGTGAAAGAGTAGACTAAGGGGGAGGCACTGCTGGAATTCAGTACAGTTGCCAAACCTAAAGTCCCTTACAGGTCTTGCTACGCTGATACCTCAAATAAGGCTCAGAGCAAGGAAATAATCTTCCCTCAGTTAAATTTTATCAGAGGCCAGAAGATAAAGTGAAGGCGAAGATGACTTTTAGAGAACCTGATCAAATCAGATGAAACTTGCAGCCGACCTGAATAGCTAACTGAGTAACCTCACCCTGTGAACTCTTTGTCCTGTTGAAGGACTTACTGTTAATGACTGTTTTGTACTGGTAAAATGTTCGGGAAGGGGAAGTTATCCTCCAAATATGAAAGAACCATGGCTAGAAAAGCCAGGGGGTGGCCTGTGGTGTGATCAGTTACTTTTCTGTGGCCTTTCTAGCCCTGGTCTTGTAATTCCCACAGAAGTGATTGGGTGGGACTGTGTGATAGGGTAATTGTGGCCCACCAAAGGCATTGGTCAGTTTTTCCATCCTTCTAGACTTTGATTTAGAAATAGTATTGGAATCATTTATTCCCTCTCCTTGAGCATAGAGAATGTGACCCACCTGGAGCTGGGCTTGTAAGGACACGTCAACTGGGCCCTGAGGTATAAAGACAATAGCTAAGATAATCTTGGAAAATACCTTTTAGGGAAATTTTCACATAAAGCGAATTAAACAGAACGCAGAAGACTTTCTACTCTTACCTTCTTCTATTAGCATTTAGTGAGTAGAAATTTGTTGGACCAGTGAAGACCCTCCTGACTGTCATTACTGAAACCTGTACCAATGATTGTTAAGAAAGACAATTCAAAATGTAGGATTACAATTTCTAGCCAATCTGAAAAGGTGAAGCTTTCAATGGTTTTGCCCATTTGTAATGTTAATATATACTGATGGTTCTGTAATGATTGTGGGACTCTGGCAGACATAGCTATGGCAGCATGCTTGTCTGTTTTCCCATTCTTGCCTATTCTATAATATTCTTTGGACTTGGACAGACATGGCTCTATCAGCATGCTTGTCTGTTTTCCAACTTTTGTCTGTTCTGTGATATTTCCTTGGGCTCAGGCGGACATGGCTCTGGCAGCATGGTTGTCTTTTCCCACTTTTGCCTCTTTGAACATATGCCGAATAAAACTTTCTTTTTGCTTTACTCAACTTTGTGATGTTTTTACCCTACAACAGCTTGAAATGAGCCACCCCAGAGGCAGGAAAGGGAAAAATCCAACCACCACCAAGAAAGAACAGCCAGGAGTCAGCACGTTTTGGACCTGTGATCCCTGTACTGAGAAGCTCCTGGAACCAGGAGACAGAGATAGAGAAAGATATAAAACTGAAGGCAGAGACCCGTCAGCAGGAGACAGCACAGTAGGCTTCCCTACCCACGGAGAGAAAAAGTTGAGTGCCTTTGGGCAGACGTGGAGGGCCAGGGAGAGGCGTTCCTTGGAGCACATCTAGGAACAGGCTGTCCTGATGGAAGAACTATATTCTAAGGTGTCCTGAATCTGAATTGTATCTGTTAGTTCCCTAATAAACCCCATAATTGTGAGTATTGTCTGTGAGTTCTGTGTGGCCATTGCAATGAATTATTGAACCCAGCAGAGAAGTAGAGACTGCCATGTGAGGGATGGTTGGTGTCAGAATTGGTAAAGATGGCGGAGAGAGAAGACATGTCTGACTTCCACCTCATGGGCATCAGCTTGGGCTGTTGATACTGATTCTCCTTCCCCCTTGTGAAGTGAGAGGAGGTCAGATACTGCCCACACGCCACTTTTACAGCTGCCACAGTTTCTCTGCCGCTGCCTCACACTGTCTTGCACCGTCTCCAGTGTTACAGCTCTCTTTTTCTGTGTCCTGGGTGTAGGAGGTTCTCAGTGCAGGGACCCAGGTCCAAAGGATGCAGTTCACTCCTGTCTTGTCTTGGTGGTAGTGAGGTCCCCCCTCTGCTCTGAGATTGGCTCTCTTTTAAGCCCAGCAGATGGCAAAACTAACCAATCCCCTAGTTAGGGTTTCATGCATTTTATTTACATGGTCCCGTCCACACTTTGATGCCATGCACCTTATCTGCACTATTAACGAGCTCTCCAATCCCCATGATGGGGCACAAGCACCTTATTTGCATGGTCCCACTCAATCATTTGGTGAAAGTTACAAGACCATGGCTAGAAAGGCGATATAAAAGCTATCCATTTCACTGCATTGGGTTACTACGAATAATACTGCTTTAAATATGTTGGTATATGTCTTGTGGTTCAAATGTTGACTCATTATGTGGGGATATAAACCTTAGACTTAAATTGCTATTTCCAAGTGTGCCTATAACTTCAACCTAATAGATGATGCCCAAGAGTTTTCTAAAGTGGTTGTACAACTTTACAGTTTCTCCAGCAGAGTAGTCTTCATTTTATAGTTAGTTCATTATGTGGCATGTTTAAAACATGTTTCCAGACCCTGATGTAAACTTATTTTCTTAAAGCTTCATTGATTTTTCATTCTCACTGAGGCTCACACTTAACCGTGAATTGATAGTTTTGCATGTTGTGAGATAGGGATCAAGCTGTGTTTTTTTTTTTTTCTTTCACATGTATATCTGATTGTCCACCATTTTTTGAGAAGACACCTATTACCCATGTCTTTGCAAATTTTAGATCTTAGGTTGTATTGCCCATGGGTGTAAAATGTTCTGAGTCATCAACTAAGGGGACAGTCAGCAGTACTGAGGGTCTTGTATTAAGAAGAGTGCCACAAGCAGTGACAGAATCTGGGCCTAGAGGAAATGTACCACTCACATTGAATTTTTCCTTTAGCCTCCAGTTCCTGACTCCCAGGCAGCAAGAGAATCACTTGAAGAAAGGAGGAAGAGATTGTAGGATTTGAATATCATCATTTCTGGGGACACTCTTCATGGAAGACTGAGATTTCTGAACAGAAAATAGAGCTGATCCAGAAAACACAAGGACAGAGCATCCAAGTTGCTGGCAAATGTCCCAGGAACAAAAGAAAATGGTCGAGGCACAGGTGACTTTTGGTTTTATGCTTTCCTTTGTTTCCTAATGGATTTGCAGAGGCCTGTAAAATATCGGTGCAGTTCATCTGAGAAGTATAAATTTGGAAAAGTAGAATTTGGAGAAAAATAAACTTAGACTGTGACTTCAGAATCAGGCAGTATAGGATCAGGAATATATTGTTCGTGGGATTAACACTAAAGTATTGATGTTGAATATAATATGTGACTGGGGGTTCCTTGGGTTACATTACTGTCAACTTGCATTTAATATTTCTCTGACCAACAAAAGAAATTCATTATAATTTAAATGCTGTGTCCAGTTTTTAAGGAGAAAGTAGATCAATTCCTTGGGAGACTTCTGTATTCCATGGGAATTTTTTCTGAGTAAGTTTCTTTGATGTTTCCTCCTCGAGGTGATGTGGTGGTCAGTATCATGTACATCAGCATTCTCATAGATGCATGTAAAATGGGACTAGTAGTAATAGTAGTATAAAAATAGCAGGCAGATTCTGACATCTTCTAACTTCAGGGATAGGAGAGAGAATAACCATCAGCATCAACCAAAAGCTGATTCCTGTAAGGTAGAGGTAAAACATAACTTGCACCTTCCAACCTTTTTATGAATTCTGACACCAGCCGTCTCTCCCACAGCACTCTGTACTTCTTTACTAGTTTGGTAATTCATTGTATTGGCCACAGAGAACTCACAGACCATATTCACAGTTACAGTGTTTATTAGGGAAGTAAAAGGTTATTACTCGGGATCACAATCAACAGTCTACAAATTGGGATCAGGATCAGGAAGCATGTAGGCAAAGTCCCCTTTCTTCAGTGCAGGATAACTCTCTCTGTCTTGTCTCAGCCATGTAGGGCTCTCCTGGACCCCCTGAAGACATGCATCTTTTGGCCCCCTGAGAAGAGTCTCCTCTCAGCCCCCTGAGCTCAGTCTCCTCTTGGTCCACTGAGGACAGGCTCCACTCAGCCCCATGAGAACAAGCTCCTGTTAGCCCCCTCAGGACAAGTTTCCCTCTCGGCTCTCAGCCTGTCCTCTGCCTTGCTCGTCCAAGTGTTCTGCAGCTCTGTTACTCCGACAGGAAGTGCCTGGAGGCACCCCACTCTGCCAGTAAGCCTCCTGCCAGAAGGCGCTCCTGCCTGCTTTAGCTGCCACTCAGCACACCGCTGTGTCTCTTTTGCCACATGGCCCTGCAAGCCCACCACTCCTTCGTATGCCCATCTCCTGCTTCTGCTGCCACTGTTTCTCTGCCGTGCTTGCTTCCACCTCTCTCCCTCTCATGCCTTCTCTGGTGTTACAGCTTGCTGTCTCCTGGGTCTAGAATTTCTCAGCACAGGGAACTCAGGTCAAAAGGACATGTCCTGCACCCGCCTCTTCTTGTTGGTAGTGAGGTCCCCTCTTTCACTTCTGAGATGAGCTCCTTTTAAGCATAGTGGGATGACAGAACTGACCCAATTTCCTAGTTAGGGTTCCATACACCTTATTTGCATACTTCCACCCCCATAGCAGTTCCATGCACCTTATTTGAATTATTAGGTTGTCCAATCCCTTTGGTGGGCCACAAGTACCTTATTTGCATAGTCACGCCCAGTCATTGTGTGGGAATCATAAAGACGGTGGCTAGAAAGGCCATATGAAGTAATTAACTGCACTGCAAGTAGTAGCTTCAGAACCTGTCTAACTTTAGGGGAGATAATGACCAGGATCAGCACAAAGGTAATCCCTATGAGGTGGAGGTCAAATATAAGTCCACTTTCTGACATTTTTTTACCAGTTCTGACAATAGCTGTCCTTCTGATTAAATCTTCTACTTCTCTTCTGGGTTTGATAATTTGTTACATTGGACACAGAACTCACAGACCATAGTTACAGGTAAGTGGTTTATTAAGGAACAGGGTACAACTTGGGATCTGCTGCAGGAAGCATGTTGGCAGAGTTTCCCTTCTCCAGTGCAGGGTAGCTCTCTCACCTCTCAGCCATGCAGACCTCCTCTCAGCCCCCTCAGGACAGGCTTCTCAATCCCCTGAGGATAGGACTCCTTTCAGACCCTGAGGACAGGCTCCTTTCATCCCCCTCAGAACAAGCTCCTTTTGGCCCTGCTGTCTGCCACCACTGACTCTACTGTGGGGCCCCTTCCAGGCCTGTCGCCACCAGCACTGCCACTGTGCCCCTTTTACTGTCTTCAGTGTTATAGCCTTTGATCCATTTTTCAGCTCTTTTAAGAGATTCCTTGCCTCCTCTCTCTCTGTTTCTTCTCTCTTTTTTCTTCCTTCTGCTTTTCTTCCTGCTTTCTGTCTCTCAAATGTCTGTGGGTTTGGGTGCTTATATCTACAACTCCTTGTCAGTTTCATGGCTTGGCCGTCCGATGGACCCACAAACTGACAAAAATCCCCTTTGGGTAGACCACAGATACATCATTTGCATAGTATGCCACTGACACTTCATTTGCATAGTCTGTTGACCAGTCCCTGCATTGTGCTTATGTGGTGCAGTGAATTACTTAATATGGCCTTTCTAGCCATGGTCTTTGTGACTCACACAGGGATTGAGTGGTACTATGCAAGTAAGGTATGTGGAACCTGTAATGACTGGGGTTATGTGTCAACTTGGTTAGACCATGATTCCCAATATTGTATGATTGTCCTTCATTTTATATGTTGTGGATCCTGACGTCTACATGTTGATGAGGCAGGATTGGTTTGGGGTGTGTCTTTGGTCACAGCCTTGCAGGAGCCATGACTCAAGTCCCACCGTTACTCAAGTTATTCCTTTCTCTGCGGTGTGGCCTGCATCTAAGATATATGTGTGTGTCTTGGCGAGGCTCCTTCTCTCTCTCTCTGCATCTGGATCCTTTGTCTGGAAGGAGGTCGACTGACCTCTGCTTCTGGGTACTTGAGCTGGAGGCCTGTTATCTGACTTGCCGATTCTGGGATTCACCAGCCTCCATCATCTGACCTGATTTGCCAGCCTCTGCAGCTTTGTGAGCCAGCAGCCTGTGGTCTGAATGGCTGGTTTGGGTTCATCAGCCCCTGCAGCCTTGTTGGATCAGGAGAAGGCTGCACCTGACCCATGGATTTGGGACTTTTGCCAGCCTCCACAACCATGTGCTCCATTTCCTTTATACGGTTCTTGCGTTCTGTGAGATGTTACAGTGAATTAGGAAACCCAAAGACAGGAGGGAGTACTGAAGGTAGAGGGAATAGTTGATGTGAGAGATAATGGAGCGGTACAGCATTTCAGAAAGGTTGAACATTTGTGACATCTTTAACCGCGCTTCATAGGAACCAGCTTTGTGTTTATCCTTAAAAAAGAAATTATTTGTTTAGCTTACCAATCACAGGGCAGGCTGCAGTCCAGGGCCAGACAGAAAGTATTGAACCAAGTTGTTTACAGCTTACCCAGGAAATGTCAATCAATCTGGCAAAAAGTATGAAACCTTCTAGGGTAGAAAACTTGGGCTGAGGTAACTTCTCTGGATTTAGGGTGGAATTCTCTCAAGGTGTTTTTCCAAAGAACCAAGGCAAAAGCCACATAAAGAAATTCATTTGACCACGATTGAAAAGTAGGTTTCCTATGGCTGTTTCTTCCAGGGTCCCTCATAGACATTCATAGGACTAGACCAAGCAACCTCAGTGGTCACAGAAGATGGACTAGGGTCTCATCTGAGAGTCAGATGAGGAAGGATCTGATTTGAAGCTCATTGACTTGGTCGTGGGCATGATTCAGTTTCATGAGGGCCTCAGTTCCTCAGTGTGTGTTGGCCAGAGGAAGCCCTCAGTTACTTGCACGTGGCCCTCCCCAACATGGCAACTTGCTTGATCAATACCACTAAGACAGAAATAACACCAAATATGTAATCTATTCACAGAATAACATCGTATCACCTTAGCACATTCTGTTAGGAGGAATTAGGCCAGCCCATAGTCATGGAGAGGGGTCTGTACAAAGGTGTGAATAGGGCTATTTTAGAATCTGCCTGCCACATATCTTTTGTTCAGTGAAAAATTATTTTTGAGTGGAGTGAGATCTTTGAGTATTTCTTCTCCCTTAACTATTTTCTGTTTCAGAAGTTATGGATAGGCATATGTTAGTGTATGAATAACTTCAAGTATAAGAATCAATGCAAAGCCAATTCCTATGAGGTCAAATATATCCGAGATTTCCACATTTTCTAAGCCTCTGTGCCACTCCATCTCTGACACCAGCCACTCACCATCCCCTCAGCACTCTTCCCTCCCTGGTTTAGGGTTGGCAGTTCACTGCAACATCTCAGAAAATCACTAACTGTTCTTACAGTTAAGTGTTTTATTAAGGAAGTAAGAGGTTACAACTTGAGATCAGGATCAAGGAACATGTAGGTAAAGTCTGCCTTCTTCAGTGTAGAATAGCTCTCTTAGCTCCTCTCGGATGTAGAAACAAGGAGGCCTTTCTCTCTGTGTGCACACAGTCTCTCAGCTATTTAGGCCTCTTCTCAGTTCCCTCAGGAGAGGCCTCCTGTCAGCTGCCTCAGGACAGGCTTCTCTTGGCACCCACAGAACAGACTCCTTTTAGCCCTGCAGGCTGTTGCCACCAGCTCTGTCGCTGGGCCCGTTCCAGGCCTGTTGCTGCTGGCACTGCTGCAGGGCCTCCTCCTAGCTTCTCGCTGTCTTCACTGTTACAGCCCTTGTTCCATGTTACAGTTCTTTTAGGAGGTTCCTTGCTGTCTCCTTGCCTTTTCTCCTTTCTGCTTCTTCCTGCTTCTTGTCAGAAAAACCTGTGGCATTGGCTGCATATATTCACAAACTTCTCATTTCAAGGCATGGCCCTTCCTGCAGCGCCATGAACTGACCAGTCTAATCCTGGTAGGCCACAGACACTTCATTTGCAGAGTAGGCTGTAGTGACTTCATTTGTATAGCATATCGACCAATCAATGCAAAGTGTATGCCATTCATAGGGCAGATTGCCACCCAGGAGCAGACAAAAGGTATTGAACCAAGATGTTTACAATTTACCCAGGAAATGTAACAAACCCTCTGTGGTAGAAAGGTAGGGCAAAGGTAACTCTTCAGGGTTTAGGGGGAAAAATCTCTTAAACTGTTACTCCAAAGAACCAGGGCAAAAAGCCACGTAATGGAAATCATTTCACCACAGATAGACATTCTCACTCTATCCGTGTTTACTAATGTCTCCTTCATATTCTCTCTTTGCTACATTTTGTGTAATTTCTTCAATTATACATTAAAGTTGACTAATTATTTCTTTAGTGTATTTGATATATGTGGTAAAAGGAGTTCCTTCATGTGGCTTTTTGCCTTGGTTCTTTGGAAAAACAGCTTCAGAGATTTTTCCCGTAAGCCCTGAGGAGTTGCCTTCGCACTAGTTTTCTTTGCAAAGAGATTGTTACTTTTGTCCTGGTTGATTGACATTTCCTGAGTAAATTGTAAACAACTTGGTTTGATTCTTTCTGACTGGTCTTGGCTGTAGCTGGCCCTGTCATTGGTAAGCACCTTGCAGGGGTTGTTCAATAGGCTATACAAATGAGGTGAGTTGTAGCTTAGCTGCGCCTACTATCCAAATGAAGTGTTTGTGGCCTACCAAGAAGGGACTGGTCAGTTCATAGCCTTGCCTTGAAATTGATGAGGAATTTGTGGGTGTAAGCAGCCAGCACCACACAGGTTTGTCAGACAGAAAGAAGGAAGAAGAGAAGCAGCAGGAAGAAGCAGAAATAAGAAGGAGAGAGAGAGAGAGGAGGCAAGGAATCTCCTAGAAGAGCTGTAACATTGGTCAAAGGCTGTAACACTGAAAACACAAGCCTAAAAGGGGCCCAGTGCAGAGCTGGTGGTGACAGACAGCAGGGCCACAAGGAATCTTTCCAGAGGGGGCTACGAGGAGTCTATATCCTCAGAGGGCCAAGAGGAGCCAAGAGAGCTGTCCTGCACTGAAGAAGGGAGACTGCCTTCATGCCTCCTGATCCTGATCTCGAGTTGTACCCTGTTCTTAGTAAACTACTTAACTGTTACATCGTCTGTAAGTCTGGGTAGCCAGTGCAACATATTAATGAATCCAGAAGAGAAGTAGAGAGTGCCGTGGGAGTGGCAGCTGACAGAATTGGTAAAATGTTGTAGGGTGAAGGTATGTCTGACCTTGACCTCATAGGGTTCAGTCTTGAACTCATCTGGTTCATTATCCCCCTGAAGTTAGGTTCTGACAATGCTACTGATACTGCTACTATGTCTAGTCCCATTTCACAATATAATGTTAATTTTTCTGTTAATGTATATACATATGTATTTGTGTAGTATGTGTGTATGTGTGTGTGTAATTAATGTGAGATGTTTCTAGTTTAGACAATTTCACTGCTACACATTATAGAAAATACTAATTTCATGAGTGGGTGGATTATAGAATGCACAAATACAGAATAGTTTATTATGATTTTGCTTTTTCTATAAGATATTAAAAAACAAAACAAAAGTAGGTATATAGATGGCAGCAGCCTATATAGAGAAAATGAGCAGAAAAACTTCCTTCACATTTCATTCATATCATGAAAAGGAAATCACTTCATTAAACAGGATGCTCTTAATACAGGAATCACTGACGTTTAGTGATGTGGCTGTGAAGTTCACCTGGGAGGAGTGGCAGCTCCTGGACCCTGCTCAGAAGGACCTGTACCGGGATGTGATGTTGGAGAACTGTCGCAACCTGGTGTCTGTTGGTGAGGACAGCTCTCCTGCCATTGGTCTTTACTTTTTCAACTGCTGAAATCTTTGGAGTGTCTGTGGTGCTCTAAAATGCAGATTCTCAGTACAATCTGTGGCTCTAGATAAGTGGGTGTATTTTCCCTACTCGTGACAGAAAAATCTTTAGTTTGTACATTTGAAACTTGTTTTTTCACAGTCCAATATTCTGCAGTCTTCACAACCCAAAGTTAATTTCCTGAGTCTAAGATTCTGTGATTTCCCATGAACAGGGTGTCAAGTTAACAAACCAGATGCGCTTTCCAGGTTGAAACGAGAACAACCATGGACTGTATTAGACGAAAACCATAGTGGAATCTTTTCAGGTGAGTGAGCGAAAAGTGGTAAGTGGGGAAGGCTGTGGAAGTCCTGTACAAGTAAGAGAAGGTGTCACAGCTGGGGGGTTGTCTGAAGATACATAAAAGTACCTCTGTGTGAGACCTCTTTTTCTTTCTGGGAGTTTAGAGAAATATATACTCCTCTATCTATTCTGAGCTAGATCCTTGTTTATTTGATCTACTTTTTGATAATTTTGGTTCCATAATTTTCTTCCTCTTAGCATTCTGAAATCTTTCCGTTCTTCATATTCTTCCACCTTCCTTACTATGAAATTCTACCTTCCAGGCATCTCTCCAAGCATAGAACTTTGAATTTGTAACTGTCCTCAGAGTATGGCACCTAATCCCCCTTTGAGTAATACTGATTTTACTTCTTAGTATCCAACCCCATTTTGCTGTTGCGCCTGCACAGTAAACTGGTCTCTCATTGTTCTTTTATGTGCTTCCTTAGCTTCTCTTGTCCCCTACTCTGATACCCCAATTCTATTTTGTCATTTGTTTTCCTAACCCTTTAAAGTTTACGTCAGTCTTCTGAGTTAATCTTCTGTTTACTAGAGAAGATTGTCAAATTGACGTCTCCTTTGAAGTTGTCTAACATAGACTTTTTAATGTATATTTTACTCATCTTGATGAAACTTCCCTATGATTTCCCAATATGTGCAAGGAACTAGGATCATGTTCCCAGCAAGAAAACCCCTGTCAGCTTAAGTTATCCTTTAGTACAATACATCTGATATTCCAGCCATCCTGGCAGTTATCTTTAATGTTTCCTACCTGCAGAGCTCTTCATGATGATTTTTTAACTAGAAAAAACATTTTTAATATTCTGAATTCTCATTCTGTTGTAAACCAGATCATAACTCATATCTACTGAAATGATAACCCTGACTATAGGAATCAGCCCAAAGATGGTTCCTATGAGGCCGAGGTCAAATATATCCTAAATTCCCCACTTGTACACTATTTCTGATAACCATCCATTCTTCCTCAGCACTCTCTTTTTCTAGTGGGTTTGATAATCCATTGCAGTGGTCGTAGAGAATTCACAGAAACACCATACTGCAATAACAATTTTTAATATAACAAAGACGTATATGAACAAAGGATGTAAATGAAGAAGTGCATAGGGCAAGGTCCACAAGTGTTTGCTGCAGAGAACCTCAACACCTCAAGAACATCCACTTACTCTTCCTGAAACAGATGTTCACTTCATCAAGCAGGAAGCCTTTCACCCAGGAACTATGCCGTGATGTCATTCAGTGGGCTCTGCTGTCAACTGCTCTTCTCACTGGCTCCCAACTCCCCTTGGCTGGCTCTGGAATAGGTCTCAGACAGTCCTAGTTCTTGACTGTTTCTAGCTACTCTAGGTCAGCGACAGCTCTAGGCTGACTTCACGACAGCTCTTGGTACAGAACTACCTTAGTGGTGCGCCCTCTTCTGCGGGCAGCCCCTTGCTTGTGGTGCCCTATTCCTCAGAATGTTACATATTCTGGCCAGGGTTCAGTCTTTACACTCTGCTGCCACCATCGAAGTTCGCTTCTTTCTGCAGCTGCATGTCTTTATTGTAGGTGCTTCCTCAGTTATCATCGCAGCTCTACATGTTATACCTTTCTTAACCTGTCTGAGGGGGACTTAGCACCGGGCCCATGTATCCAAAGGATGAGCTCATTTCCTCTGGTTGGATCTCATCAATCAGGAGGCCCCCCAGAATCCTCAGTGCTTTTGCCCTTCATTTAGGCCTGTCCTTAAGACTGGGAGTGGGTCCCAAGGCAATACAAGTAAAGGTCAGATTGGACAGGCTCCACAGCCAATCCTAGTAAAGGGCAGACTGACCATTCTTTCCGGCCAATCCCAGTAACGGACCGACCAGGCCGCACTCCCCAGCCTATCTGGGTAAGGTCAGTGTAATGCTGTTTGTGAAGCCTGTTTTCTACTAGTGTCAGAGCTTGTCTAATTACAAGAGTAGGGATGAGAATCAGGATCAGCACGAAGCCGATTCCTATGAGGTGGAGGTCAAACACACCTCCATTTTCCAACTTTTTCACCATTTCTGACACCAGCTGCCCCCCCACCCTCAGCACTCTCTACGTCTCTGCTGTTTTATAATTCATTATGATGGCCACAAGAACCCACAGATCTTACTTGCTGTAAAAAGTGTGGGGCAACATCTGACCTTCTCTAACTTTACAGTGGGGAGGAGAGGAGACAGAATCAACATTAGTCCACAGTTGATTCTCCATCCTTTTTACCAATTCTGACACCAGCCGTCACTCTCACAGTGTTCTCTACTTCTCTGCTGGGTTTGATAAGTTGTTGCCATGGGCACACATAACTCATAGACCATACTCAAAATTAGGGTGTGTATTAGGGAAGTAATGGGTTACAATTCAGGATCAGAAAGCATGTAGGGAAAGTATCTCTTCTATGCAGGACAGCTGTCTCAGCTCCTCTCACCCCCCTGAGAACAGGGTGATCTCTTGTCCTTCGGCCCTCAGATATTGCCTAGCCTCTGCACTGCCCTGATCGGTGTTAAAAAGTTCTTTTAGGTTTGCTGATAAGTATCCAGAGGTACTCTATTCTGCCAGGAAGCCTCCCACCTGGAGGCACTCAAATCTCTTGCTCCGTGGTTCAGCATGCCCACTGTAGGCACCTCGCTCAGTTGACCGGGAAGCCCACTATAGCTGTCTTGCGTTGGTCCCCTGGTTTCGTTGCTGCTGTTTCTCTGCCACTGGATTCTGCCGTGTTTTCTGCCACTTCTTGCCGTCTCCGGTTTTTATAACTCTCTTTGTCTCCTGGGTCTAGTAGGTTCTCAGCGCAGGGACTCCAAGTCCAGAGGATGTGCTCCAGTCCTGGCTCTTCTTGGTGGTAGAACGTTTTCTCTCTGCTCTGGGATTAGCTCTCTTTTTAAGCCCAGCAGGATGGCAAAACAGACCAGTCCCCAGCATATACCTTATTTGGGTCCCATCCCCAGCAGGATTTCCATGCACCTTATTTGCATTAGCAGCAAACTGTCCAATCTCTTTGGTGGGCCACAAGCACTTTATTTGTGTAGTCCCACCCAGTCATCGTGTTGTAGTCACAAAGGCTATGGCTAGAAGGACTATATTAAGTAATTCTCTACACCACACTCAGAATTACGTTCTTTATTGGGGAAGTTAACAGGCTACAACATGAGATCCTATCAACTTGGAAGTAATGGAATACAATTCAGGAGACAGCCATACAGTTCCTCAGCGAACCGAGACAGCCCTCAGCTCCTTTTCTTGCAGTGCTCGCAGGCAGGCAGCCCTTCTAGCTGTGCCAACCACTAGACCTTACTGGGCCACTGCCCTGCTTGGCAAGCGTTACAACTCTTTTAGCTTCACTGACAAGTGTACTCCACTGGCAAGCCTTCAGCTCTTAGGAGCTCGATTCTCTGTTGCAAATCCATTACAGATGTCTCTTGCTGCCGTCTCTCATCATCTTCGGTATTATAGCTCTATTAGGAGGTTCTCTTACTATTTCTCTGTATGTGTCTATCTCTGAAAATCACTGTCGGGTTGGCTACTTTTTATAAGTAAGTCACTCAGTACTGTTGAGTGGTTTTATGCACCCTATTTGCATAGTACACTAACCAATCCTAGAAGATTGTGGCCCAGTCAATCACTTTTGGCGGAATTAAAAACCTAGGGCCAGAAAGGCCACGTATAAGAGCAAGCCGTTGTACTGCAGCCACATAAGGAGCCTGCTGGACCACACTACTTCACTTGAATTCCTTTGTATATTTACTAATTGTGCTAACTGCACTAAAAAAAAAAATGGGCAATTAAGGCAAATCCTGTCTTCACTGGTAACTATTTGGTTACGATCAGCATGAAACCAATTTCCACTGTCCCATGTCTCCATTATCATTTTTGCAAACCACTTAATGTGGCACTTTGTCCTCCCTAGCCACCTGAAACCAAATCCTCTCCTCCCTGACTGCCCAGAGCCAGGTCCTCTCATCCATGGCTGCCTGGCGCCCGGTATTCTGTGTCCTGCACATCCTGAGCCGGGTCAAAATACACAAGTTAGAAGCTTGCAGTCCTTCTGATCAACTGCCTGCTCAGTCCCTCTCAGAGTTAGCCACCTGAGCACTGTCAGAGTTTACAAGTTAGCATGACTCTGTTCTCTGACTGCTAAAAGGGCAGACACCAGCCCTGCAGGCTCATTGCCCCCTTTGGGTTTGTTAATTCTTTAGAAAGACTCACAGAATTCACCAAGACTGCCTATACTTACAGCTCCAAACCAAACCAAACCCATTGCCGTTGAGTCAATTCTGACTCATAGTGACCCTATAGGACAGTAGAACTGCCCTGTAGGGTTTCCAAAGCTATAATCCTTATGGAAACAGACTACCATATCTTTCTCCCACAGAGCGCCTGGTAGGTTTGAGCCACCGACCTTTCAGTTAGCAGCCAAGGTGCATAACCACTGCATCACAAGGGCCCCCTCATACTTAGAGTTAGCCATTTATTATAACCAGAGAGGATAGAAATGAAGAGATACCTCAAGCATGGTCTAGAAGAGGTCCCAACATGACACTTCATTGCCTCCAGCTACATCCACCTTCTTCCATGCATGGATGTCCTCAGCAGTCCAGGAAACCTCAGACTTCCTCTTGCATTGCGTTTTGCTGGCTTCATTTTATACTCGTGATTGGCAGCATCAATTGAAAAAATGAATATGCGTGATTGCTTGCATCAAGCCCCCCTCACATCTTCAGGTTAGTTGACAGGTATATTTGTGTAGCCCCCAATCATTTCCTCACATTCTAAAGTGTTTATCCTAACTGTTATAAAAAAACATGGGCACCTTGATTGCTGGAAAATTGCAAGGGCTGTCTTTCAAGGAAGGAGTCGTGGTTTTGCAGTGGTTAAGCACTCGGCTACTAACCAAAAAGTCTGTGGTTTGAACCCAGCAGCCTCTCTGCTAGAGAAAGATGTGGCAATCTGCTTCCATAAAGAATACGGCTTTGTAAACTGTATGGGGCAGTTCTGCTCTGTTCTGTAGAGTCACTAGGAGTCAGAATTGACCCAGCATCAACGGGTTTGGTTTTTGTTTTGTTTTTTTAATCTTTCAAGAGACCAAAGACAAAAGCCAAATTGAGTTCTTGTTCTTGTTAGGTGCCATCAAGTCGCTTTCAACTCATAGCGACCCTTTGTACAACAGGACAAAACACTGCCCAGTCCTGCTCTGTTCTCAAAATTGTTGCTATCTTTGAGCCCATAGTTGCAGCCAGTGTGTCAGTTCATCTTGTCGACAGTCTTCCTCATTTTTGCTGACCCTCTACTTTACCAAGCATGATGTCCTTCTTCTCAGGCACTGGTCCTCCTGATAACATGTCCAAAGTATGTGAGATGAAGTCTCACCATCCTCGCTTCCAAGGAGTAATCTGGCTGTACTTAACTCCAGAACAGATTTGTTCCTTCTTCTGGCAGTCCGTATTCAGTATTCTTCGCCAGCATAATAGTTCAAAGGCATCAATTCTTCTTCAGTATTCCTTATTCATTGTGCAGCTTTCACATACATATAAGATGGTTGAAAATACCATGGCTTGGGTCAGGTGCACCTTAGTCCTCAAATAGACATCTTTGCTTTTAAACACTTTAAACAGGTCTTTTGGAGCGGATTTGCCCAATTTAATATGTCATTTGAGTTTCTGACTGCTGCTTCCATGGGCGTTGATTGTGGATCCAAGTAAAATGAAATCCTTAACAACTTCAACATTTTTTCCATTTAGCATGATGTTGCCTATGGGTCTACTTGCGAGAGTTTTTGTTTTCTTTACCGAAGGCTGTTGTCTTTGATCTTCATCAGGAAGTGCTGCAAGTCCCCTTCACTTCCCATAGGCAAGGTTGTGTCATCTGCTTATCGTAGGTTGTTAATGAGTCTTGAGTTCTTAGTCCCACACTAATTCTAATCTTTCTCTCAGTTCATTGTAAATATTATAACTGGATTCACTTCAGTCCCTCGGTGGACTTTTCCAGTTCCAAAGGCCTAAATGTTAGAATGATTCAAACTTCGGTGTTCATCTTCTGTAAAAACAGTGTGGGGGCAGTATCTGACCTTCTGTAACTTCACAAGGGAGAAAGAGAATCAAGATCAACAGCCCAAGGTTGATTCCTATGAGGCAGAAGTCAGACATGCCTCCTTTCTCCACCATCTTTACCAATTCTGTCACCAACCGTCCGTCCCATGGCACTACTTCTCTGCTGCGTTCAATAATTCATTGTAGTGGCCACACAGAACTCACAGACAGTATTCACGATTATGGGGTTTATTAGGGAAATAATATGATAATTCAAGTTCAGGAACACTCGGGATACAGTTCATCCATCAGGACAGTCTCTTAGCCGTGCTTGCAAGGCTGCCTCTGGCCCTCAGCCTCCGCTCTGCCCATACAAGTAGATACAAAGCTTTTTTCGCTCTGCCAGTAAGTGCCAGAGGCACCCTACTCTGCCAGCAAGCCTCCTGCCCAAAGGCACTGAGCTTTCTTCTCGCTCCATGGGCCAGAAATCCCACCACTCTCTCTCCTACTGTCTCCTGCCATCATTTCTCTGCCGCTGCTTCTCAGGACCTCTCTCTCTCTCTGTCTCTGTCTCTCCCGTTCTTTCCCTCTGTGTCCTGGTTCTAGGACCTTTCTCAGTGCGGGGGTCCCGGGTTCAAAGGACACACTGTCCGCTCCTGGCTGTTCTTCCTTGGTAATGGTGGGATCCTCTCCTTCCCACTTCTGGGGTGGAGGCCCAGCAGACTGGCAAAACTAACCAATCCACTTGTTGGCCCACAATTACCCTGTTTGAACAGTCCCACTCTTATCACTTGGGTGGGAGTTACAAGACACAAGTGATCCATTGCACTGCATCTACCAAATGTAACAGTCTGCATTCTTCACATACTGTGCCTAGTGAATAGTTGATTTTCAGTGAAGATTTGTAGAGTAAATGAATCTGTCCTTTACCAGTTGGAATCAGGAAGTGTTAAAACTCTGTGGTCTGCGGGTCCCAGTGAATTGCTTATATTTTACATTCTCTACATGTTTTGCAAGGCCTTATTTAAGTAGCAACCAAATCTGTATTCATTCTTTATGTGTTATCTAAACTTATTTCTACACTAACTGCTTTTACTCTTTAAGTTGTTTATGTTATTGTATTTCTATCAATGTGCAAGGAATATTTCACGTGTTTTATTTACACTCTTATCAGAGGGTTGTCACTAAAGATTTGCCTTACATCAATGCATTTTTTTAAATGGCTTCATTCCACATCAAGACGATGAATGGATTTATTCTGTTCTTTCCTAGAAATCATGAACATTGATGATCATCTGCTTGGACACTCACAAAAAGAAAGCAAGGTGAACAGCAAGGAACAGTGCTATGAGCATAATGCATTGGTAGATATCGTTCATCGGCACAAAAATCATTTTCCTTTAAGGGAAAATCATGCTATGTTTGACTTACATGAAAGAGCTGTGAAATCAAATTTAACTTTACCATCAGTCAACCACAGCAAATGCGATGAAATAAAGAACTCTGCTGAGCTCACTGGAGATGAGAAAACCTTTCTCCATGATGCCCAGGAGCAATTTTGTTTGGAAATGAAATTCCCTGAAAGTCAAAAATCCAACAGCACGAAATCTCAACTCATTCAGCATCAGAAAACTCACAAAACAGAGATATCACATGTATGCAGTGAACGTGGGAAAGCTGTCATTAGTAAGTCTTTCCTCACTGAGCCCCAGGTCATTCATACAGGGGAGAAACGCTATAGATGCAGTCTGTGTCGGGAAACCTTCTTTAAAAAGTTCAAGCTCATTGAACATCATCACACAACTCATAAAGGACAAAAATCGTATAAATGCATGGAATGTGGCAAAGCCTATCTGCATAAATCACAGCTCAATAATCATCAGAAAGCTCATCTGGCAGAGAAACCCTATATATGCCATGATTGTGGCAAAGGCTTCATCCAGAAGACACATCTCACTATTCATCAGCGAACTCATACTGAAGAGAAGCCATATATATGCGATGAATGTGGTAAAAGCTTCAACCAGAAGGGACATCTCATAGTTCATCAGCGAACTCATACTGGAGAGAAACCCTATATATGCAGTGAATGTGGAAAAGGCTTCATCCAGAAGGGAGATCTCACTATTCATCAGCGAACTCATACTGGAGAGAAACCCTATATATGCAGTGAATGTGGTAAAAACTTCAGTCATAAGGGAAATCTCATTATTCATCAGCGAATTCATACTGGAGAGAAACCCTATATATGTGGTGAATGTGGTAAACAATTCAGCCAGAAGTCACGCCTCATAGCACATCAGAGATTTCACACAGGGAAGATGCCTTTTTCGTGCAGTGAAAATGGAAAATCTTACTCCCAGAATGCAACTTTCATTAGACATCTAAAAATTCACGCAGGAGAGAAACCCTTTCAATGCAGTGAATGTTCGAAAGCCTTTGAAACGAAGCTAGAGGTCATTGAACATCAAAGATCTCATACAGGAGAGACACCATATTGCTGCAAAGAGTGTGGACAAACTTTTACCTGTACTTCTTCCTTTTATTCACATAAAAGAAAACACAAAAGAGAGAAAGGTGTAGATTCAATCAAGTTGGAAGACTCTTCCACAACAAGTCAGATCTCATCACATACCAGTGAGCTCATGCAGGAGAAAAGCCCTGTTAATACAGCGACTGTGCAAATGCCTTCTCTGGCACCTGAGACATCAGTAAACATCAGTGGGCTCCTAACTAATATGAACTTAGTCCTTGTGGGAGAGCCTGTTGCTAGATGTGAACCCTCAGCAGATAATAGAGAATTTGTACGGCAGAGAAACCTTGTGAATGCAGTGAATTTGGTGGTGCCTTCAGTGGTCAATTATGTCTTATTTTATGACAAATAAAACCTATAGGATAAACTCATACATACACTGGGGACCAGGATTGAGCAAAAATTTCTACCTCATTATATGGCTACAAAGTATATCCCAAGGGAAATCATGTGATTGCAGAGGCTGGGAAGGCCTGATACGCTCATTCTGCATAAATATGTACTTTGATATTGGGACATAGTCTGATGTTAACACAAACACATATTCATCAGTTCTGTTGTGCCAGTTAAATGTATGAAAGTCTGAGTTAATCGGAAATAACTGAATTTTTAAATCACATAAGATCATCAGTGTCTGAATGGTGCTGTAAATAAAAAACCAAATAGGGGTTGGTGGGAAAGGGGCAATATTAAATTGATGGGGTAGAGGGCACATATGTATAATTTTAGTTTGCCCAGAGCATTGTGAAGGATTAACCCAAAACTATATTGTCTGCTATACATAGTAGAACTTTATATTATTGAGATGGACCTACGAAACAATGGTCTTACATTGAGTCTATTCATTAATAAACCACTTTAACTATAGCCTGTCAGTTCTGTGTGGACACTAAAATGATTTATCAAACCCAGAAGAAAAGTAGAGGGTACTGTGGGGAGGTCACCTGTTGTCTAAATTGGAGGTAAGTCTGACCTCCTCCTCATTGGAATCAGCTTTGGGCTGTTGGTGATTTGCTCTTGTGAAATTACAGGACTTCAGTTGCTACTAGAACTGTAAAGTTGGTGTCAGAAGTGTGATTCGTTGTCATGGTTCCTGACTTATGGAAATATAGGGTTTTGGAAGAGAAAGGATGAATGGGCATGGCATGAGAAAATTTTGATTCTTGGGTGATTATTTTGATTTTTCCTATATGTAATGGCTAAAATGCAAGAGATGATATGCTGCAGCAGTGGACAGGAAAGCTCCATGTGAAGTGGATTGGGGTAAAAGCCCAGCAGGCTAAGCAAGATGATTAATAGGGGGCCAGGGCCTTCTGATTCAACCCAGCTAAAGACCTAAATCCATATGCTTACTAATGGGTAAGATAGATGCTGGAAAGCAGAAGATGAAACTGCAATGTTTAAAAAGGTTATTTATCTGAATGTACTATATTTGCCTGACTAAAGGTGTTTTTTTCCCTACCTGGTGGTGTAAAACAGACCTGAATGTATGATGGGAATGAATATTGGGTATTGTAAAAAAAAAAAAAAAAAAAGCATGTTACTCCACCCCTCGGACAATACTTGATTGGATATGCTAAAATGGGGTACTAGTAAATGGGGCTTCTGCCAAAAGCCTGTGAGATTAGGAGATTGCATTTTGAGAGACAATTGTACTGTGAGAGTACTAGGATGATTGAAGTCTTGTAGACCAAAGAACTACTTGTTGAATGAATAGTAAAAGAATGTTCATGTAAGGTACAGCCCTATGGAATCTGAAAGGTATGTTCAATAGGACATGTCAGTGCCCACCAGAAGAACTCCCTTTCAAAGGACTGGAAGTTAATGGAAGCTGGTGAGTAGATAGCTTGGTATGCTTGCTTGAGGTGACCACTTGGGTCTACACGATGAGTGTACGTGGGTGAGATGCATCAATAAAAGGATGGGACAAGTTTGGACATGTTCCTTTGGCACCTGTTGACCTATCCCTGGGTGGGTAGGGATGAGAAAGAGAACGGGATGGCTGGTATAAAGTGCAGTGGGGACTTCTGAGCCTACAGGTGGTAACCCATTGACCTAGCTCATGGTGACTAGGGATAACCTAAGCTGACCCCAAGTGAATGGGATGAAGATGAGCTAACCTTAACTGAATGGGTATGAGATAACTTGACCCTGGGTAAAGGGGATAAAAGAGAGAGGTTTAATAATGTGAGTTGGTATAGATGGCTGCAGTTTGGTGGTGTCTTAGTCATGTAGTGCTGCTATAACAGAAATACCACAAGCGGATGGCTTTAACAAAGAGAAATTTATTCTCTCACAGTCCAATAGGCTACAAGTCCAAATTACAGGGCATCAGCTCCAGGGGAAGGCTGTCTCAGCTCTGGAGGAAAGTCCTTGTCAGTCTTCCCCTGGACTAGGAACTTCTCCACACAGGAACCCCAGGTCTGAAGGATGCACTCTGCTCCCGGCACTGCTTTCTTGGTGGTATGAGGTTCCCATGTGTCTCCGCTCACTTCTCTTATTTCTCAAAAGAGATTGGCTTAAGACACTAATCTTGTAGACCTCGTCAATATAATTGCCGCTAATCCATTTTATTACAGCATAGGGATAGGATTTACAACATATAGGGAAATCAATCCTACAATACTGGGAATCATGACCTGGCCAAGTTGACAGATATTTTGGGGGGACCCAACTCAATCCATGACACTCCACCCTTTGGCCCCCCAAAATTCATGTCCTTGCCACATGTAAAACATTCATCCCATCATATCATAGCAGAAGTCATAAATCAACTGCAAGTCCAAAATCCAAAAATTTGTCTTCGCCTGTGAAATCTAGAATACAAGTCATCTGCTTCCAAAGGTACAGTGGTGCAACAGGCAGGCACAAGCTAGACATTTCCATTATAAACGGGAGAAACTGGAGGGAAAGAAGGGGTAACCAGCATCCAGCAAGTCAGTAGAACACATTACATTAGCCCTCAAGGCTTTAAAAATAATCCTCTGTTCTCTGAGACAATTTACACAATGGCCCTGCCCTCCAGACTCTAGGTATTGGCCACACTCCAGATTCTGAGTGGAGGCCCCTCAGTCCTGGGCTTCAGCTCTGCCTTCTAGGCCCACTGGGACAGCAACTCTGTTCCCTCGGCTTCAGGCAAACTATTCTAGTGAGTGGCAACTCCACCCTTAGAAACACCAGAGGCCATGGGTCCACCCTTTGAAACCCCAGAGGTTCTGGCCATGCCTTTTGAGACAGAGGCAGCTCGGCTTCTTGTCTTTCTTGTCTATTCAGCTTCTGCTTCCTGTGGCCTCTCAGCCCTTGGGCCTCATGCCTACATGTGCCCTGCTGGGGCAAGTGTTCCAAAGCCCTGTAGCTCCACTAATAAGTGCCTAGAGGCACCCTGCTCCACCGGGAAGCCTCCTGCACCAAAGCATTCGGCTCTCGCTCCATGGGTCAGCTCCAGTGCTGTCTGGAGCTGGTCTCCTAGTTCTGCTGCTGCCAGTTCTCTACTGCTGCAGGTCGTCTGCTGCTGCTTCTCACCATCTGTGCTGTCTCCAGTGTTAACAGTTCTCACTTCCTTCTGAGTTTTCTATCCATTCAGTTTCAAAACCACTTCCACATTTTAGGTATCTGTTAGAGCAGCACCCCACTTCCGGTACCAAATTCTGTGTTAGTCATCTAGTGCTGCTATAACAGAAATACCGCAGGTGGATGGCTTTAACAAAGAGAAGTTTATTCTCTCACAGTCTAGTAGCCTACAAGTCCAAATTGAGGGCATCAGCTCCAGGGGAAGGCTTTCTCTGTCAGCTCTGGAGGAAGGTCCTTGTCTGTCTTACCCTAGAATAGGAGCTTCTCTGCACAGGAACCCCGGGTCCAAAGGACATGCTTTGCTCCTGGCACTGCTTTCTTGGTGGTATGAGGTTCCCATGTCTCTCCGCTCACTTCTCTCTTTTATATCTCAAAAGAGATTGGCTTAAGACACTAACTAATCTTGTAGACCTCATCAATATAACTGCTGCTAATCCATCTTATTACAGCATAGTGATAGGATTTACAACACATAGGGAAATCAGTCATACAATACTGGGAATCATGACCTGGCCAAGTTGACAGATATTTTGGGGGGAAACAATTCAATCCATGACAGTCCACCGTTTGGCCCCCCCAAATTCATGTCCTTGCCACATGTAAAACATACCTGTTTTCAGAGAGAATATTTCCGATGTGCTCCGCTTACCAACTTTTTGCCTTTTCCCTTCACAGGAGCGTGTCTCTGCTGTACAGACGTTTGAATTCCTACTTGTCTGTTTACAAACTTTATTTTTTTTTAAACATACTGTTTTAAGGTGGGGCCATATTATTTTTCTGCCTAGCTTACTAGAAGCAATTTGACCTGGTCCATGTTTTCCCTGTGAAACTTGAGCCTCTGAAAATCTATCCATTTTCATCAAGGGTAGAGGATCAAGGAAACTGGACAGTACCAGGGCGTCCTCCAGGCAGTCCTTGCCTAAACAAACAAAAAAAACTTGTTTTCAGAAGCAAACCGCCACATCTTTATCCCTTGGGTGCTTTCTGCCTTGGGGGAACTGGTAGGGGAACAGCTGACCTGTGTCACCAGGCCTCCTATGTTCCTTGCCTACTAACCTGAAAACCAAGCCCATTGCCGTTTGGGTCGATTCAGACTCATAGCAACCCTATAGGACAGGGTAGAACAGCTCTGTAGGGTTTCCAAGGAGCTGCTGGTGGATTATGAACTGCCGACCTTTTGCTTAGCAGCCAAGCATTTAACCACTGGGCCACCAGGGATCTGCACCTTGGTTAACCTTTTGCCGTCTAGTCTATTCTAACCCATAGCAGGCGCGCTCTTAACCACTGCACAAGCAAGGCTCTTTCAGTCCTTCCCTAAACTAAAACCCAAACCCAAACCCACTGACGTCGAGTGGATTCCGATTTATAGCGACTCTGTAGGTGTGCTGTTCGAATCTGCCAGGCGCTCCTTGGAAACTCTGTGGGGCAGTTGTACTCTGTCCTACACACACACACACACACACACGCACACACACACACACACACGCACACACGCACTCACACACGCACACGCACACACACGCGCGCGCGCTGCCGTCGAGTCGATTTCGACTCATAGCCACCGTATATAGTATAGGCCAGGGTAGAACTGCCTCACAGAGTTTCCAAGGAGCTCCTGGCGGATTCGAACTGCCAACCTTTTTGTTAGAAGCCGAGCTCTGAACCACTGCGCAACCAGTCCTCCTTGACTACTGTCTTCAAACACAGCCACTGGGCCTTCTGTACGGCTAGTTTTCAAACATGGCTGCTTCCAGAGGGACATGGAGAGTACGGCGCAGACATATTACCTCCTAAAGCTATGCCGGAAACGCCCTATTCGCGCTGACCCTCGCCGCCGCCGTCGTAAGCGGACAAGGTTTCTGCGCGACAAGTCGAGAAGTAGTAGCTGTTCACGGAAGTCGGTGAAACTTCTCCGAACTCTTCGCGGTTCTGGAGTAAAACAGAGATTGGTGTGTGTTTTTGTCCTTGGAATTGGGCTAGGTAAGTGTGTGGACGTGGTGTCGTGAGGACACATGGAGTTCCTGAGAGGAGCGCAGGGGTGGAGGTGCTTGAGGGAGTCCAGTGGCTTTGGGTGAGCATGGCTTGAGCACTTCTGTAAAAAGATTAAGGCTGTCCCGACTGTCAGGGTACGGAGTCTTTGCGGATCTCTCTGCTTATAAGGGGATGGTGTTTACCATGAATGGGCTGTCTGGTTCAGGATTTAATATGGGGCTGAGTGAAGTTGGAGTCGGGGGATGGACTTTGTACGGCAGTGTCTGGTCCACGTTTCGCTTTAATACGCGTCTGAGGTTGATCTGTGTCTGGTACAGAGGCTGGTGAGGCAGTCTGCTTCCGTAAAGATTACAGTTCTACTCCGTTCTGTAGGGTCACTTTGAGTCGGATTCGACTGGATTGCAACGAGTTTAGTTTTTTTTTTTCTTTTCTGGATGTATATAAAATCTGCTTAGGGGTTTCTTGAGGGTACTATCGCTTTTAAACAGGCAATTCCTTGAATCTCTTTTTCCATGTAGGTGATCATATTGTTTGAAAATAACCTCAATTTTCCATCCTACTTTAATATTTATACCTTGTGCTTATCATGATATATTATTATTGGCTCAGCTCTTCCATACAAAGTCGATATGTAAGTTGGTAGTTTTTGCTACGATATCTTTGTCTTGTTGCCCACTTACAAAATGCACTTGCTGTAATGTTTATTCAGGATGTAGGATCATATAAATTCATCCAGGATTTCAAGTTTAATGAAATAAAGAGGTTCGAGG